AACTGCAAAGGACTTGTCCAAAAGCAGTCACTGCAGAGTCGGTAACGACTGAGTGCAGATAAAAAACAAAAACAAAAAAAACATTTACCTGATACACTCAGTGGGAGGAGATCCAAACCATCTCTCTGCAGCTCTATTTCCATGCTCTTTTGCATAACTGATTACGTTCAATCACGAGTGAAACTGCTGATAGCTTGTCTCTGCAAACAGACTTCCTCCAATTGATTTGTTCAGCATCAGCTGATGTCAGTTACATAAAGCTTGTGACTGGAGGAAGTCTCTTTGCAGAGTCAAGCTATTTCACTCATGATTGGAGGCTAGCAATAGGAAGAAGCCTGTTTGCAGAGACAAAGTATGGGCAGTTTTGCAACTGCGTGGTTCTCTCCTTGGCTTACTTCCTTGAATAAGACACCCTTCAATTTTTAGCATAAGGATTTTAGAAAAAAGTATCGTCTTATAGTCGGAAAAATATGGTAACTCATTTTCAGGAGAGGTAGCTATGTTAATCTTTTGTACCAGTAGTAAAAGAACTTGTGGTACCAGTATGGGCAGTTTTGCAACTGCGTGGTTCTCTCCTTGGCTTACTTCCTTGAATAAGACACCCTTCAATTTTTAGCATAAGGATTTTAGAAAAAAGTATCGTCTTATAGTCGGAAAAATATGGTAACTCATTTTCAGGAGAGGTAGCTATGTTAATCTTTTGTACCAGTAGTAAAAGAACTTGTGGTACCCCAAACTTAATAAATATCGCCTAATTCTTGTAGGTCACAATCCATTTTACTGTCTTGGAACCTTTGTATCATTCCTTTCACTTTTGTCCAATATTTTCAGCTAAAAAAATCATACAAATACAAAGAAAGAAAAGGAAACTAAAATTCTTAATCAGTTGTATTTTATTTTAGAAAGCTTACAATAAATAAGGAAAGTTGTATTTATGAAATATATGAAACATCCAAATATTAAGGCAACCTTCCAAACTTAATATCCTCCATCTCTTTTAGATTGCAATCTCTATCATCCACACCCAGTCCCACAGGTAGAAATGGTAGAAAAATCTGAAATCAGTTTTGGGACTGATTGCAATCGTATAAAAAGTTTTCGGAGAATGTAAACGACTGAATTTAATTAGATTTACTCCTGAGTAGGCAATGTACAAATTTATGCATCTCTAAATTAATGGTTCATTGTTTTACTTAATTGAATATTAGATAATAATGTTTTGAAGATACTGTAGCTATTAGGTGGTGTCTAATACTCTGTATTATTGTTAAATTGATTATAAATTAGTTATTTATAAAGGAAATAAAATATGATCTATCCTATAAGGCAAAACATAGCTACATAGAGAGGGGAGTTTGACTTCTTGTAATTGTCTTAAGATGTTTGCTGTCTCCCTAAAGAAATAACACAAGTGCCTAATGGAGTGTTTGTATAGTAAGCATGATAATTATTAATATTTATAAACCACTAGTGATGTTATTACAAAGTGAATGAAATCTCTACTAGCACTGTGTGCCTGGAACCTTTAATTTCCTGAAAGAATGTTCTGTGAAAACAAGAACATAGCAGGGAACAACAAACTGACCTGTGTCCGTGACATTTTGAGGATCAATATTTGGAGATAATGTAAAAATATTTGACCTAAAACTGGGCTATAATTTTGGACTAGAAGTCTGAAATAGCTAACAAACTTTATTTACTAAAAAGAAAAGAGAGATACTAAAGAGAAATAAATTACACTAATGCCAAATTTTAAGCCATGTTTTAACCATATTTTATTGAATAAGTTGCAATTAGCTGGATCCACACAATATTTTGTGTCTTAAGTCGTTTATAAATGACAGGAGCAGGGTTCAATACAAGCTAAGCTGTGAAAAAGCAAATCACCCTTTGACTTGGAATGTTTTGTGAATTCAACTTAAATGTGTCTGATAGATTTGAAAGAGGTTGCTGACTACTGCATTGTTTCCAGTTAGCAGGTTTTTAAAAAATGAAAGGGAAAAATAATAAGTATATAGTAAATATACTTTTATATATTTTATTATAAAAATATAATAAGTATATAGTAAATAAATAGGGTAAAGTACCCAATGTAAAGAAAAACAATCACTGGGAAGAAAGATAATTTTCATGATATATCTTACTGCCAGAGTTGGATTCTTATATTTTAATATATCTCTAAAATGCATGGAACAATTTTAGCAGGCTAACAATCAGTAACAAAATCACATTTTTGTTCTGCTTGACTGTGCTATATATGCAGTCCAGCAGAACATCATCAGTTTTTTATATATTTGATTACCAATCAGAAGACCAGAGAAAGTACTTTGCAATGAATTCCAATAAATCTATTTGTAAGTATACTTAACGGTGAATATTCTGAGGCCTTTTGGCTCTCAGAGCTCTTTTTGGCAGTCCCTAAGTCTCTTCCCTCAATGCTAATTGCCCACCATCTTGAGGCAGGACACACAAAAACTCTAAGGTAAGTCTTAAAATTGATTTAACGTAGTTTTAAATACCCCACAAGTCTAGGAAAAGATAGGAAGTCTCGCCTCTATTTACGTGGATGTTGCCTGTCTCCGCATAGTATCTGCCTGGCCAGTTCAATCTGGCAAGGTTGGTGTGTTCTGGGTTTCATTGATTGAACAATGCCATCTCCCGGAAGTGCACCTTCTTTGTAGCAGCATCTGCCCTCTGGAATGAGGTTCCCCTGAGATTTGAATGGCCCCCGCCCTACTGGCATTTTGAAGGGCCCTGAAGACATAGGGTGAGGATGATTGACTCCCCTTTTCTTCCTTTTCCTTGTTCCCATCTGGGTTTGTTTTCTCTGCCATCTTTGTTCCTTTGTTTTGCATTGATTGTGTTTTTTGTATTGTTCCTTGTTCTAAACGTTTTTTTTTTATCCGCACTCAATCGTGACCGATTCTGCGGCGACTGCCTGGACGAGTCCCTGCAGTTTTCAAGGCAAGGTGTTTCGGAAGTGGTTTGCCATTGCCTCCTTCCTAGAGCAGGACTGCCCATTTTACATCATTACACCAGCTACTATAACTTAGCCCTCCTAAAAAAAAAAAAAAAAAAAAAATAAGGGCTG